TAATTCAATTTAAAATGAGCACTTCAACCAAACACACAACTCATATCAATCTCTTATTTTCACAGCATTTAGTTTTCAAGTGACTACTGTACTAGACGATTTTTAAAATCAAAGGTTCACCCCCCAAAAACTTAGAGATCTACAGTTAGAAGACTCTGAAGACAATTCAAAGAGAATTTCACTAAAATATGCATTCTGAGTACTTCAAGGAGGCAACAGTTACATTTCCTGGGTATGTGCACTAAGAGCTATCATCCTAACACATTAAAAAAATATAGGACTGGGGGGTTTAGCTCAGTGGTAACATGGCAAGGCCCTGGGTTCAATTTTTAGCACCAAAACTGCAAAGTATTGACTGGTGAAATATGATACTGCAATTTCAACACCAAAGCACAGGCAACAAAAGAATAAACAGATAAGCTGGATTTCTTGAGAATTTTAAAATGTTTGTACACCAAAGACATTGTGAGCTGGATATGAGGACCACAATTTTAGCCCACCCTAGGCAACTTAACAAGACACGATTTCAAAATAAAAGGGGCAGGGGAAATAGCTCAGCAGCACAGCATCTGCCTGGAAAGTACAAGGTCCTGAGTTTGAGTCCCAGTACCTAAAAAAAATTAATTAATGAATTAAAAAAAAAAAAAAAAAGCAAAGCCCTGGGTTCAATCTCCACTACTGGGAGGGAAAAAGAGGACAATCTGCAGAATGGGAGAAAATATGTGGAAATTGTATCTAAAAACAGAATATCCAAAACATACAGAGAGCCCCTAAATCTCAAGAACAAAAATATAACCAGGACCCGAAGTGATGATATGTATCTATAGTCCAGATGCTGAGGCGACAAATAGTTGCAAGTTAGAGGCCAACACAGACAACTAACTACGACCCTGTCTCAAAATAAAAATGCAGATACTACCTCTCATATTTACTAGGATAGCAACCATCAAAAAGAGGGGGGAAAAAGTAACTAGAAAATATATATTGGCAAGGATGTTGAGAAATTGCAACCCCTGTACAGTTGGGGGTATAATGGAAAATAGCACAATTCCTCAAAAAATTTAGAATTAGCCTATTATTGGTAATTCTAATTCTGGGTATAAACCCCCAAATAATTGCAAGTAGGATCTTAAATACTATCTCTACACCCATGTTCACAACAGCATTACTGTATTAACAATAGCTAAAATGTGGAAGGAACCCAAGTGTTCATTCTAGATAAATGGATAAGGACATGTGAATGATATATATACAAATACACACACATGGATTATTCAGCTTTTAAAAGGGATGAAATTTAACCATCTACTACCAATATGGATGAACCCTCAGGACGTTTTGCTTATAGGAAATAGCCAGTCACTAGAAGACAAATAGTAGGGGGTGGAAGTGCTCCACCATGGGGTGTGGGCTTACCATGTAGAAGGCCTTGAGTTCAATCTCCAGCATCAAAATCCAAAGGGGAGAAATGGGACAGGGAATGATAAAAAATGATCAAGACACTAGTATGAGTGCATAGGCCTATAATTCCAGCACTCGGAGGCTGAGGCAGAAAGACCATTGAGTTTGAGGCCAGCCTAAATTAGGGCCAAGACCCTATCTCAAAAACAAAACAAAAAACTAAAAATAGACACTGAACGCTACCCAAAAACCCTATAAAGGTGGAATAGGTTTAAAAAACAAAAACAAAAACAAAACAGAAAAAGATATTTTGGAAACACAAAAACAAACAAACAAAAAGATACTTTGTTTGAGACAGGGTATCACTGTATAGTTGAGGCTGACCTCAAATTCACAGTGGTCCTTTTGCTTCAGACTCCTGAGTGGTGGGCGATACAGGCATGTACCACCATGCCTAACTATTGATTTTTATGTGTTCAAGTACAGCCTGTACCTGGGGTCCCAGCCAAACTAAAGCAGGATGGTTTGAGCTCAGGGGTCGAACGCATACCTAGGCAACACAATAAGCCCCTGCCTTTTAAAAAAAAGGTTAGTTTTACAATGTTGTAGATGAAAAGCAGGGCTTTCTGAGGCCAGGTAAGTTCCCTACTGCTGAACTACCTCTACCCCAAGTCATTTCTTTCACCAACAAACATTTCTTCAGGAAAGTTAGTGGTATAGTGTATATCAAAAGCTAGAAGAGGGGCTGGGGATTTAGCTCAGTGGCTCAGTGCCTGCCTGGCAAGCCCAAGGTCGGGAGTTCGATTCTCATTCTCGGTACCGGGGAAAACAAACAAACAAAAAAGGCTAGAAGAAAAATCCCAAGAACTGGAATTTCTATTAGTCCCTCTTTATCTTTATTGTGTTTTTCTTTTCATGCTGAATATTTAGATTTTGAAAACTCTGCAGTACTTAATGCTGCAAAATTAACTAATGCTAAGCCTAAAAAAAAAAAAAAAAAAAAAAAGCAACATCATTCCTACTAAAATAACAAAACACACCCTCCTAACCTACTACTTCCAAATTGCTAACAGGCATTTTTTTTTTTTTTTTAAATTTTTGAGTACTGGGGATTGATTGCAGTACCACACCAAGCTAAGGATTCTATTGTGAAGTTAGGAGAAATGCATAGAAATCCCTTACCTTCAACTCAGTTATTACTACTGAGCATTAAAAGTCACTACCTAGGTGTGCTCAGCCCATGGACCACAGTGTTGGGGTTAACTAGTAATGTGGCCCTACAAAATGGTAAACTTTTAAACATTTTATCATTTTTTGGCAGTGTTTGTCAAGACTCAATTCCTAGTGCTCAAACGCAGCTGCACAGGGACAATGGAATGCTGTATAGGGGAAGGCTACTTTACTTCCCACATCTACCAGTTTCTGTCTTCTTTTCTGTTATTAAAAATTTTTAAATAGTTGTTGCTTGTAAAAACTAATTACAGTACATTGAGTTCCATTCCCAGTACCCCTAAAAAAAATTAACTACATATTTTATATGCAACTCAAGACAATTCCTCTTCACTCAATGTGGCTAAGGCAAGCCAAAAGCTGGACACCCAGGAACATTAAACTAAGAAAATACAAGTGCTCTTAATACTCCATAAATCCAGCCGATTATTATCTCTTGTAAGGTTTAAGAAAACTTTAAAAGAAAAGTACACTTCGTAGAAAGTGAGTGGATCAATCAACATTTGGCAAAACTTCAAAGACCTTGCCCTACGGAAATCTAATTCAGCTAATTATTATTTGTTTTAGGGGGCAAATACCTATCATATCAATGTGATTCATTTCAATAATGGTCAACTACAAAACTCAATTAATCTACTGTACTAAATTAAAACAAAATGAACTTTTCAGTAACACCAGCGAAGTCAGTATCATGTAGAGGCATTTCATTTACCTCAACCATTTCATATTTCCTTGCCCATCTACAAGGAAAACGCATACAGAATAACTAGAAATATCAATACTGTATTCCTATTTTAAAAGGTCTAGAAATTTACATAAAAAAAACATTTGGGGCTGGCTTATGTAAAGTAGTAAGACTCCCGTCTCTTTAAAAAATAAGTGATACATATAATCATAAATCAATCGTAATATTCCTAATGGGAGTATTATCTCAAATTTTTTAGAGATGGGAGAATATAATACACTGAGGTATCATCTCAGGTTCACAAAATGACCTAAGTACAAGACACTTTTGGTAAATATTTTCTACTGACAGTCTCTAGCAAGCACATGGCACAGAAAACAACACTCAAAACAACTTAACTTACGTATCATTAAACACATCCTCAGACACTACAAACTTTTTTTTTTTGCCCTGCCTTCCTAAAATCATCCAGCTCCCGTCTTAACTCCTATTTACTTCCAGAAAGAGCTGGAATAGAAGACAGGTAATTTTATCTGCCAGGACTGCTACTCTTAACTTCCATAGATAGATCCTATTTATTCCCGTTTTTTAAAGGAGGGGAAAAATACATAAAAACATGATTATACTCCGTCTTCCAGTTGGCAGATAAGGAATGAAAACTCGGAAATTTGCTTGAAAGTCACACACAGCTTTGCTATTCATCTCTGAGGCAATGATCTCGTCCAAGGAGAATACAGTAATTACCTCATCCCCTACAATCTGTCATGTTTCCCAGCTCCTGCCATTGCAAGTCACTGTCTAAGGGGTGTTGCTGTTAGGAAGGACAGATGAGGCGGAAGGGTGTGAAGAGTGAAAGCCACTGTTGTCACAAACAAAATCACTTCAATTCATTATTCAAATTCATTTACCCTCATTATTAAGGATTTAAATTAGTTATGCCATTCAGCAAATTCTTTATAGGTCATATTCGAAAAATTATTAGTATGAAACTTGAGGGTTTTTTCCTTTCAATTAGTCTTGAGATGCTGGCCTCAAGCAATCCTCTTGCCTCAGCCTCCTTGTGTTCACCACTGCATCCAACATAGGCCCCCTTTTACATGGGCTTTGATCCAAAGTCTGTTTCTCTGTAACATTGATGAATAAATGTGCTTGCCGTTGTAGTCTGTCTGAATTACTTTGTAGTTACCATTCAGCACCCGTTATTCCTTCTATACAGTAATTGGACCTTCTTGGACCCACCTCAAAAACAGTGTTCTTACTTTAAGCAAACTGGACTATTAAATGCTTCACTAATAAAGCAACATGTGATATAAAAAGCAGAGAATAATATCTATTTGATGAAAAAATATTTTTTAACTCAAAGTGTCCAAAAGGAAATACTTATGATCATCTTTTTAGGCAAGTTCCTTCCCTACTCCCATACCTGTATGCTTTAAATCAGTTAGGTCAATTATACCCATCTATATAAAAATGCTTTTTAAGTTCAAAAAGTAAACATTCCTTCTAAAATTTTAACCATACTATTTCTAAAGATCCTGAAGCGTTTCATGCTAGATGTTTATCCAGCCATTCTCAACTAAGCTCTGAAATATTAAAGAATGTACAGTTTTCAAAATTTACTCATTACAAACACCACTTATAAACTGATCAGTAAGAATCTTTGTATAGGAAAAAAATGAGTTACCTTTAGTGTGATATACAATAGCAGCTCTCGGGTCAAAAGAACCCCAGCTATCATTCCTTTCTAGGCCTCTCTGGTATTTCTGTTCTTTGGCGGAGCCTAACAAAGTGTTCGTAGGAGAGGCCAGAGGATTTTGATTTTCTATCTCGTAGTCCTTTGAGAGAAACACTAAAGCACCTTGACTATTGGTGTCTGCTTTTTGCAGGTCACCTATATGACTGGGTTCCAAGGATAAGGCTCCACTCTCACTCGTAGTCCCAGGTTTTAGAATGCTACCCAGAACTTGAGGACTAGTCCGTTTCTCCAACTCGTAAGCCTTAGGAAACACAGGATGCTCAGTTCCTGAGGGGATTATTTCAGCACCCTGTGAAACCAAAGTGGCAGGATATTCTCCTTGAAATGTCACCTCCATTACTTTATGATCTGATGATTTCCCAATAACAGTCTCAGGGCCAGCACTGGGCTCATTTATAAATGATAAACCCCATTGATTCTGGAAGATATCCCCCAGGTTTTGCTGATCTGTCTGAGAGGGCAGATCCACTTGTGCTGTACTCAACAGCACACTTTGCATATTTGAAGGGTAGATAAAAAGGCTAGATTTAATTTGTTCAACAGCTGCTGAAGTTAGACTCATGTCCTGGAGAACTGAATCAGTTCCAGAAGAGATGGGTGTTAGAGTATTAGCAGCAGTAGTTAGCAGTGGCTGACCTGGAGGATACACGCTTGCATCAGTCCCCGCTAAAACAGGCCCATTGGAAAAGCTGGCAGAAGTAACAGATTTCAGCGCTGACATAGGGACCTGGGATAATCGACTTGAAGATTGGGTCTGAGTTTCCCCAGTAGATGATGAAGAGGATGAAGATGAAGATGGTGACACAGAAGAGTTCTGTATAGTTTTGTTGAGGTTTTCCTTAACTTTGCTTGCATAACTTATTTTAGGAACTATTTTAGCACTGCTATTGTCCACTGGAAAAACTGGAGGTGGTTTAAACAGGGTCCATGAGTCCTCTTTGGAGGCCACAGCTGAGGCATGCTTTCCTTTGGGCCGATCATCAAACTTCTTGCTGTTCACACCAGGTTTAATATCTGAACTTTTACGAAGCATATCACCCACAGCAGGTTTTCCTCGAGTTGTTCCTCCAGGTCCAGTTTCATACTTCCAAATGGGCTTCGAACCATCTACTCGATTTCCCTTTTGTTCACTATAGTCAGGCTTGAAAGTTTCAAGTCCATGTTTTAAGGGTGGGACACTAGTCTCTTGTTGCATTATTTTGTCCTGGACTAAATTAAGGTTTTCACAACCCTTAGCACTATTGCGCCTAGCTTTCCTTTTTTTAGGAGTGGTGTATCCACTTTCTGATCCACTACCATCATTATCTGCGCCCTTGCCCATATAACCATTAGTAATATAGCCTGAATTATTTGTTACAACACCATTTGGAATTGCTACAGTATCGTTCTTATCTACAGACTGGTTTTCTCCAGATTTATTTTCGTAAGATTTCCCATTCTTTTTGTCCATACTGTTTTTCTGAATGAAATTCTTGGTTTTAATTCCTGTCTTCCCAAAGGTGCCAGCCTTCACAGTCTGCTTCAGACTAGTATCTACAACTTGCTGGTTGCCATTGAGGACCCTGGAAATAGGGTTGGTAGCTTCATCAGAACCCAGGCTCTTTAAAGATATTTCTCTTTCTCCAGCATTACCATTTATTTCACCATAGCCTAAGGGAGGAAAAAAAAAAAAAAAACTAAAATTACAACATTTAAATTACAGTAGTACCTACTATTTAAGGACTTTATTTACTGTACGACACTATGCTGAGCTGCAGTTTTGGTTTTCTCCCACATAAGACATTTTACAGATTAGAAAATGGAACCTATAACTGCTAAGCAAAAAGGTAGAAGAACTGAACCATGATTCAACCTCAGTGTATGAAGTCACAGACAAAGCCTTTAATCATTAAGTCCTAATACTACCCAACAGAATCAGTCTACCCACCATTCCCACAAGGCCATTATAAAATTTTCTTTACAGTTTACAGTACAGCTACCCTCTAAGCAAAAACTAAGTTTTACTTATACAGAAATAGTAAAAGGTTAGAGCTGACATAGCTCAGTGGTACAGCATTTGTCTATGTTAACAGAACTGGAGGCGGGGGGAAGGGGGAGATAATTTTTTAAAAAGAAATGTTTCAGGGTTGGAGATGTAGCTTAGTTGGTATAGTACTTCTTGCCTGACATGCAAGAGGCCCTCTTCACTGCCCAGCACTGCATAAATAAAAAAAATAAAATAAAATAAGAAAATGTTTTCATTCTGCATTTGGGTAAACAGTCTCTTGAGAGATAAAGTAATATGCCCAAGTCACAAAGTGGAAGAAGTGGAGATCTGAACTCCAGGCTATCTGGGACCCATGGTTTCCTATCACCAACACTATGTAACTCAAAAGATGCAGTGCAAAAATATATACTAACCAAACTCCAAAGAAGGAATTTAATCTGGTATTCAGATACAATCAAGACTTAAACTACTAAAGAAAAATTATTATTATCATTAGAAGGTGATTTAACTGGGTCAAAAAACTTTCTCCATGCCTTACTAGTAAAATATGTTATTAATTATCTACACCTTTCTACCAAAGTTCACAAAAGTATTCTGAGGTCAAGTCATTACAAACAGGTGCATAGTACGTATGCATACTCATTTAAGGCTGTTTTTCAGGGTGCATAGATAAAAGAATACCAAATTATTCACCTTTAACACTTTCATGCTTTCAGGTATTTGGGCTGTGAAAGCTAAGGCAAACGGGTTTGTATATTTTTAAAAGAATTTTCTCAATTTTAATTTCTATATGATAAATATAAATCAATATAACTCCCACCAAAAGCTCCTTCAAGCCTCCCCCATCTTTAAATTGTTTTGAGGTCCTTGCTGTATAATCCAGGCTGGTCTTCAACTCACTATGTACTCCAGGCGAACTCGAGGCAACTCTCTTGCCTCAGGCCTCCTGAGTGCTGAGATTACAGATATGAGCCACCAAGCCCTGCACAGTTCCTTAATTTTAAGAGCAATAACAGTAAGGATAATGAGGCTGGTTTTTGTTTCAAATGTTGAGAACCACTGTTCTGAAATAACCTGATGTGGAACAGCCTGGGAAGATTCACAACAGAATTTACTAAAATTTAAGTCACTCATTCTACATCAAAGAAAATGGTGGGAATATTCAAAATGAATAAACACGTTTTCTTCTACTGTATGAAAGTCGAAATAAAAAAGAAAAAGAGAACCTCAAGACATAATCATACCCATGATCATACATATTCCCAAAATTGGCACACAATGCATAAAATTCTATAGCATTCCATTTCCATATCTGGCTATTGAGTAAGTTATATGACAGCGATCAAATAAAACTTCTGGTGGAGAACTTTTAACTATATAACCAGGCATGGTGGCACATATCTGTAATCCTAGCTGCACTCTGGGTGGCTGAGGCAGGAGGGCTATTTGAAGCCAGCCTGTCTCAAAAAACTCAAGCATGGTATACTGTACAACCCCAATTACGAAATAGTAAGTGTAAGACCACTGCTTTGGAGTCTTCTAAAAGACTCTTTAGAAAAATCGGAAACTCCTAAATAGACTCAGCATTTTTAACAGACATAAACTTACCCTTTCCTAACAAAGGGCCAAAAACCTACCCACATCACTTAACATGCTAGTAAGTTAATAGGTTAAATAGATGTTTGCACCCTCCACCCCAGGACTACCAGTCAAAATGTTTTGCATCTCAAAGGTGAGCAATTTTAAATACAAAAAAAAAAAAAAAAAAAAAAAAATCCCTGTTCCAACGAAGTTGAACCAAAGCAGACTTGTAAGTGAACCAGAATAATTTTCAAACATTATTAAATGTCTAAGACAAAAAAAAAATTGAGAATAAATGGCTAAGACATAAGAAATCACCAATAAAAAGTTCTAAAGCCATTATATTCCCACTTTTGTAACAAATTTCTCATTTAGCTACATAACTTTTTCCCATTGCAACTTCGTAAAAGTATTCCAGAAATTTCTTTTTAAAGCTTAGGTATTTAAGAAAAATGTAAACAATAGAGAATTACCGAAATAAGGAATTCCTATTGGTTTTGTTATTTAGGGCTGCCATGCTAACCTTATTTCAAATGGACTCAGCAAAACGTGAGTCCTGATAAATCTAGCTTTTGGATTAGAAACGGAAATTACTCAAAACATTTGATCTTCTCTTACGCCCTCTTCTGGATAAAGAAAAGCAGCTTTCTCATAGTTTGTGTGTAATGGGTCAGAAAAGCCCACCTTAACATAGTACATTACATTCCAAAAACATTCTGAAGTTTTTTAAAGTTACTAACATTGTACACATTGAAGCAACAGTACTGTGACCAGGACACACAAACTACTAACCCCAAATTGTTTACATTTTCTAAAAATTGCTAAACTTAGTTTCCTTCTTATTCTTTACTCCAGGATAAGACTTTTAAGGAAGGAATCCCACTGTGAATGGTTCAAGGGTTGCTGCTATACGTAGAGGAGTCCTGCAGGAAAAATTAGCTTGATTTAATAAAACACAGTTTTCAAACCTAAACAATACTATTACCGCCTTGTATTTCAAGCAAGCAGAAGGTAACATTTTCAGGCTTTTGAAAAATCTGTTAAAATGACCTAGTGTTAATAGTTAAGCTGCTCCAAATCCTTATGATTAAACGCTTAACCCATGTGCTCACTTCTACTGCATTTCATACAACCTCAAAATGGAAAATAAGACATTCAAATTTCAATCTTCAAGTTACACTAACTCTGCAAAGAAAAAAATCTTTCTCCAACTCCCAATAACTGCTTATTATTAATTCTTTCTTACCATTCTATTTCTCACTTATAAAGGACCCTCAGTTATTAAACTCTGCGAGGTTATGAATTTTTAAACTTATTTCTCAAATATTGTTTCTCGCATGATTTCTACCGCCAACTCAATCTTTTGTAAAATTAGAAGAGTTCAAAATGGGGAAAAACTCCTTTCATTTTAACACGGGGGAAAAAAGCGTCGCCCGAGGCAACACGGTAGTGCTCCAGCCTCAGGAGGAGCCACTTCACTTCACCCTTAGTGACAAGAAAGAGGGGTCAAAAAATTCCCCCTCGTCCCCATCCAATCAAACATTTGTTTAATCCCTTCCCCCCGCCCTGACACTCCCCAAGCCCGGCGGACTCGGGTAAGTGTTTCGTAGGGAGATAGTGGAACTGGGAGGTCCCCTCCCCGTTTTTTTGTAGAAAATGAGCTGCTAGAAGGGAAAGGCCCAAGCGAAAGCCTCCGGCGGAGTCAGGCGGAGTCGTGAGCGAACCTGGCAGGATATGAGGATCCTGTGGCAGAGAAACTCGTGACCCGGAGCTTGGTTCCCGCTGGGTACCCCACCCGGCCGCAGGCACCGCCTTACCCAAAAAGAATCCCCCGCCGCCCCCAGCCCTCCGGCCCCGCGGAGGCCCGAGGCCGCCGCCCGGGGCCTCCTTCCCCCTCCGCTCCGCTGGGAGTCCGGCTCCCCGCCCAGACCGCCCGCGCCTCCCGCCG